CGTGGACCCGCTAGAAGACCACACTTTTCTCGGGCCATTATCTCCGTAACCGTTCAACTTTGGACATAGGTGTTTTGGGTTATATCGGCATACTTTAACATAAGGAACACCCTCCCGAAGTTTGGTCCATTCCTCCTGGGACACCCTGTATATATGCGAATCTTGTCTTACCTACCTGTTTTGAATCGAAACCATTTCGCACCATTTCTTCTGCCTCTGAAACTCTTATTGTGGTCAGGCCAGTCATAGTGTCTGACAGATGTGAGTAGACCGGACTCCGGGCTGAAAGAAAGAACCACAGAATACAGGTGACCCAAAAGTCAGTTACGCTAAAATATTCTCTCGTATTAACGAGAATGTTGAGACTGAAATATGCTAGTTAATTTATAGAACGATTATCACAGAGTAGTGAGTCGTGCAGTGAACATGAAGATCTATCGGAATTACTGGGGCTTTTGGATTTTGTCCATCCGCTATTGTGAAAACTGGAGAACAACATTTCGGAAACTGGATCTGTTTCCGCCCTCAGGTGATTGTGGGAGACACCTAACACAGAAATGTTGTGTTCTCTAGTTTTTAGAATATGGGACAATGGACACTACATAGGTAAAAAGTGAAGGTAAAGTTGTCCGTGTAATAGGCACTGGAGGCCAATAGGGCTGTGAGACGTCGAGGCTCCCACATTTTCTAGACAATCGTCTCACAGATGGCGGTGAGGTTTGTAGCCTTACACACCGGCAGCCCTTTACCCCCCAGGAAAATTCCTGGTACTAACTTCTGTTAGGGGCTGAATCGATCTCAAGGCCATAGTGCGGCTGGAAGGATTAGGTCAATTGAAAAATCCAGTGACCTCATAGGGATTCGAACTCGCGATTTTCCGGCTTGTAGCATAGTACCCCAGCCAACTACGCTACCGCGTGCCCCCAAATCTACATAGAGGGTTTATTTTCGAACAATTTTTGCAAATTCAATTAGTAGTAAAGGGGTTTCTAACGTATTTTAGTATACATTTTATAACTTTCGGGCCACCTGTACAGTGGAGTTAGCTATATATTTTACATATACAGTAGAACTTGGTTATAACGTCATCAAAGGGACCTAAAAATAGTGTCGTTATAAACGAATGTCGTTGTAACCGAAATGGGCACTTCCACAGTAGCCTTATGTTAGTCACGTAAAAATCTACCAAAAACCGAGTTAAAATGTTGCATTTTTTAGTGAAATACGTAGTTAAGTACAGACTAACGTAACATTAACGTGGAATTGCCCAAATGTGTAATATCAAAGACATATTACAGCGCTTTTCACTGACAATACACACCGCACTAATACTGTATATTAAAGGTAGGCCTACTCACCAAATTACAGTAGATTACAATAATTGTTGTGCCTTACTGTACCTAGATACGAGTACAGTAATCAGTTATCTTCATCTGTTTCCTGTTACTTGCCCAATACACACTTTCTAAATTACGTTCAATGTCCATATCAGAGAAATTCAGGAATGAAAATGACGTTACATACGAGGTTGATGCATTTGTGCATGTCGTACTAAGCAAGGTATAAAAACAGTTGCTTTATGAGGAATTAGTTCGTACCATTGAATATTTGACGCAATAGACAAGGTGTCGCAGAAACCGATGTTGCTATAACCAAGTTTTACTGTATGTACATGTTTCCCTATCAAATGTACACCGTCAGCTTCCCCCCCCCAAAGAGTAAAGTGGCTGAGTTGAAGAATCTGTGGTGCTGTACCTCCACTCCCATGGGTCTTTATGGCGAGGTGCCTAATTAAGCACAGGGACAACTTTGCATTTACGTTTAATTCGGCTTTCAACTACTTGAACTTAGTAACACATTAGGTTTTCCTAGCAGTGAGAGTTCAATCGTGTTTTGTCAAACGCCAGAAGGCCACAACATTTACTTGAACTTGACACAGTATCAAGGAATTCGTTAGCTAACTTTGAGAGTTTGAAATTAAAAGAGGACTCACTTATTGCTTCCAATCGTTTCACATTTCTCGAAGTTTTGAGGTACACGGATGTGACTCCATAGTAGCAGAACCCAAGGAGAATCATCAGGACTATGAAATAAGGGTTCACTATCGCGATGTTGACCAGGATACCAACCAAGACTAGGAATACCTGTCCAAAAAAAGCCATTCTTAAGTGAAACATCATTACACTCGTGGCACATGTCACATTTCTGTTGGCAGATATGGTAAGACAGATTTCTGGGCGTCATGGATTTACATTATTCTGTTCTCCACGTCTTACTGACCGGCCCCTTGACCCACCCAGCCTCCTATCCAGTGGGTATCGGGGGCAAAGCGGCCGGGGAGTGAAGCTGACCACTCACCTCCAACTAGTGCCTTGGTCAAGAAAATGTGGATCTATATATCCACTCCCCCATACGCCTTCATAGCGTAGTGCTTAATTAGTGAAGCACGGGGACGACTGTACCTTTACCTTTACACTGTGTAGAAGTAGAATTCGGCGACAAAATCTCAAGTCATTCATGAGAAAGTCTCCGTTTCGTGACCCAGCATTTACGAAACACAATAAGAGTGTCCAAGTCACTAGACGTCCGAAGTTTAGTTCTCAGCAGGGCCACATATTCTTTTAACGCTGGAAATCGTCCTAATATATCAACAGAAAAGAAAAAAGATATTTCTGAAACGGGGAAGTTATTTAATTTTTCGATGACCCTATCCGTAACTGCTCATTAGGTCTGATACTGGAAAGGACAATAATAAACATGTTCGTAGCATATGTGACGTAAAAGGTAAACAGGGTAACAGGGTTGTGAGACGTCGAGGCTCCCACATTTCCTAGACATTCAACTCATAGATGGCGGTGAGGTTGTCAGCACCGGCCGCCCTTTACCCCCAGGAAGATTCCTGGTACTCATTTCTGTTAGAGGCTGAGTCGACTCCAGGGTCATAATGCGGCTAGAAGGATTAGGTTAATTGAAAAATCCACCTCATCGGGAATCGAACCCGCGACCTTCCGGATTGTAGCATAGTGCCTCAACCAAATACGCTACCGCTAGAAGTAACCCAAATCCCCGTAATATTTATGAGAAAAATGTGCAAACCGGCGTAGATGATTCAGCATCGTTCAGATATTATAGTCCAAATTTTTAAAACATAGAAATCTATTACCTATTTTTCAACCACATTTTGAATTTTTTTAATAGCCACAATCTGTCCATGTGAGGCTGTACTCAGATATGCCAAAGATGGCACCTGAATGCACGCGAAAGGAGAAGTTGAGGGGACACAGTAGTCATACATATAAAAGGCAAAGTAAAATGTAAATTTGCCTCTGTGCTCAACGAATTCAACACTACGCCATGAAGGCGTATGGTGGAGTGGATATATAGATCCAAATTTTCTTGATCTCGGCACCAGCTGGAGGTTAGTGGTCAGCTTCACGCCCCGACCGCTTTACCTCCGGCGAACAACCCCAGGTACCCGTTGAATAGGAGGCTGGGTGGACAACGTGAAGTGAAAATTGGTGATCCTACCGGTAGTCGAACTCCAACTCCTCGGTCGTCCAGACCATAGCGAGTCGCTATTACCAACTACGCTATTCCGGGTTATTGAATAGGCAAGCATACACAAGAAAATTTCCGTTTGTTCAACGAGATAACGACGTTGGTTTCTTGATTATTTGAAAATAGAATATCGTAGTTTCTAGCCATGACCTAATCATATACGTCACCATGTGATAATGACGCCAGAGATATGGAAACTTACCTGAATTGACTCTAGCATGAAGCGCGGCAAAAGTTCATCAATGGTTCCAATATCTTTTGAGAATCTGTTGAGGATCCTTCCAGATGGATTTGTGTCGAAGAATCGCATGGCGCCGCGGAGAATTGAAGAGAACATTTCGTTGTGGAGATTGATGGACGCTCTCATGCAGGTTTTGACGAACATGACTGAGCGAAGTAAAGTGATAAACATACATCCAACAATAAGGCTCCCGTAGATTATAAGCGAGTCGTCCTTGCTGACTGTGGTGGTGTCCTCAATAAGTGGAGGCAAATGTGTGTGGCTCTTGTTTGCTGCCAGTCTTTCCCTGACGGAAGTCACATGTGCCTCCCTTATTACTTCTTCGTTTGTCCTGTAACAAGAGTTTTATTAAGTGTTACGCGTTGAAAATGGAGCTTCGAACACACATGTTTCAGTATGAAAAAAGTAAAATTCTCCCAGTGCTCTTTGGTCTAGTGGTTAGAGTTCCCGGCGCTGCCAAATATTCTGAGAAGTAGTGGGTCTGGAATGGGGTCCACTCAGCCTCGTGAGGTTAATTGAGGAGTCAACTTTAGCAGATACAGGGTGTCGCGTGGTCAGCGCAACGGATTCCCACGGCTGTTAATCTCGGTTCTCTAGGCCGGAGCCGTTATTTCATCGAAATAGCTCCTCAATTATCCTCACGAGGCTGAGTGGACCCCGGTCCAGACCCACTACTTATCAGAAAATCTGGTAGAGCCGGGAATCGAACCTCTGAATCTGTAGCCAGGAACTCTGACTACTAGACAACAGAAGCGGTCAAATTTTATATTCATAAAATCAGAAACGGAATCTAATGAACTTCGTAAAATAAGAAAAGAAGCCGGAAGGATAATCCTTCAGCAAAGTTCCACGGACGATGTTATTATGAACTCACCAGTACGTAACCCAGAAGTCAGCACCGCTTGTCGACACTTGAGCCAGTATAAGCATGAAGACAGTCATGAGCAAGAAACAGATGCTTCTCCCAGCACTGAAATACCGCCAGTATGTTTTCCAGCTGATGGTCCCGACGTTTCGTGATTCTTGGTTCTCTTCATCGCATTCGTCCACATCGTCGCCGAACCAACTCTTTAGCACGGACACAAATAGTTAGGCACAATATGAATTCGTGTTAACTGAATATGAAGTGTCACTGGTCAATGAATTTAAAATCTAGTGAACTTATGCTGATAACTTTATTGAGGAGCCTAAATTCTCTGCTATTTGGTTATCACAATGTTTTTAATTAGTACGTAACAATGTATTGTTCCCTTAAAACCACACATTGATGTTTTATGAAATCATATACAGGATGTGACGGAAATTTGGCGGATAACATTTGGACAAGAGTTCCACTTACCAAAACAAAAAAAGTGCCCATCTCATCACGTGTCCGGAAACATTTAATTTGTGAGTTATGGCTGGAAGGATACATTTATAATAAGCGCTCAAAATGTCCGCAATGAGAGTCAGTGCACGCCTCGACACGTCTCACCATGGACCACCGCACGCGTTCAGAGACGCCGGGGCAGTTGCGGACAGTCTGACAGGCATCCACAGTGCGATGTCAACAGGAGCTGCATACACACGGGATTTCGGGGGTTCCCACAGGTAAAAACCCAGAGGACTCAAATCTGGCGAGAGTGGAGGTCATGCAGTGTGTCCTCCTCTACTTATCCATCGGTCACGGGGTGTGTTACTGTGTTACAACTCGCACAGCGCGGCTCAAATGTGCCGGAGCACCATCGCGCATGTGCCACATTCGTGCTCTGACTGCCAGAGGTACATCCTCCAGTAGTTTCGGCAGATCCTGTAAGAGGATATCTCGGTAGTGGTTGCCTACAAGCCGATGTGACAATACACGCTGGCCTACCAAAGACCACCAACACAATTCGTGCTGAACTGCTTCTGGTGTCTACCCAGAATTCTTTCAGCTATAACTCAGAAATTATACGTTTCCTGACACATGTTCATACGGACATATTTACGCCTCAAGTAAGCCACCACATACTTCATAGATAAGGAACGGGATAAGCCACACTTCGGTGTCCACGTTTCTGTTCCCGTATGTCGTGCAACACACTGACTTAACCCTTAAAGCTTCCACAGGATCCCAAGCTCAAGATGGAACATTTTAGGCACAACCCAACACCAGATATTGCGTATCTAAAACATCTTTGAGGGTGCGTCACAATATGATGACGTCATCGTTAAAAGGTTACTAAGTTATGTTTACAACATAGGTTGAGAACTGACATTGTCACATCGGAGATTTTGCACACAAGGGACTTTTTCCTCATGAGGATGGCCTTTCAAGGTGCGACAAACCGTCGAAGATATTTCAGACAGACAATATGAAAAACCATATTTACAATATTATGCGGTTACGAATAAATTAGAGTGGACTTTTATGGTATGTTTTTGTAAGTTTAAGACCAAAGTTTTCTGAAAATTACGTTCTATAATTCAAAATAGCATTAAAATTTGAAATGAACAAAAAATAGTGGGAGAAATATTGTCACTCGCTTTCGATTGTTTCAACATGTATGGTGAGATCAAAATTTATTATTATAATTTATATTAATACTGAGCCAGATTACGTTAATATTGTTGGATATAACATACATTTTCTCACCTTACCAATTTTTCTAATTCTTAATATATATAAAGAGATATTTAATATAGAATTTATAGTCACGTGTGTCTAATAGCTCTGATGACTGATTAGTTATCACTGTGAAACCAAAAGGCAAATAGAAATATTCGTGTAGATATCATATTCTTTTAATTCCCTTAAAATAAATAACATAATAATTGTATGTTTCCAAATTATTTATTGCAACGCCTTTCAGAATCCGACACTAATACGCTATAAAAAGATGTTACTGTAACATTGCCTCATAAATTTCTCAACGACTCCCATTTTGTTACTAATAATTTAAAATTAAAAGTTCGAAGTTGACGTGGCATTTTCTAGCATGATGCTTATATTAAGTTTTTTTTTTTATTTGATTAGTGGGGGGTGGAGTCCAACTGGGTCCACTCGGCACGGCGGCCACTGATCGGCCTATTGTAGCTTTCCCCGGGTGGTTATGATGACGGAGAATTTGGTGGGGTGAAGATTGGCAGGGGAAACCGAAGTACTCGGAGGAAACCCTCCCCAGCGCCATTTTGTCCACCACAAATCCCACTTGACCAGACCCGGGATCTAACCCGGGCCGTGGCGATGGGAAGCAAGCGAATGACCGCTTGAGCTATGGCGCGGCCTTTATATTAAGTTGCACGAATATCAGTCAGTTGAAGTCAAAGTTAGCATAGCTTTATGTTCGTGCGCGGAGCGCTGTTTTCCGAGCGCTGACTCAAGCGGAGGGTTCGGGCGCTCCTCCCGCCAAGTTAACGCTTCACGGTAGCGCTGTCTAGAGAACTCACCATATAACCGCGATGTCTGTTGCTAAGCAACGTAATTAAGATCGAAGTTCTGGTCTGTGTTGTGTTTTATGTGCGTTCTTACAGAAATACTAACTTAAACACATATCACGTACATGTAATCAATCAATAGTTTGTGCATATACAGTGCAGCGAGGTGTGTGGTTTTGCATTCTTACAGTGGTTAGTGCATGAAACTTTTCTCCTTATCTACACGACTCACGCCGTCCGAATTATGTTGATCATTGTTGGCGTTAACAATGGTTTCCTCGCTCTTAGAGATTGGATGATCGCGATGTATTGGGATTGGGCAGCACTGCAGTAACGATTTGTTGTGCAGAATATTTCTCAGTGCCCCTCGGATCTTCCTGGTTCTCCTCCACAATATTTTAGCTCCGGTTGGCGGCTTATGAACGCCATCAGAAATAATTTTGGCTTCTCCTTTCATCTTCTGAAAGTAGTGCATAAACTCTTTACGATTATAGTTTGGTTCTCTATATCTTTTTTTCTAACGCATTCCAAACGGTTTTCAGGATACAGTCAGGTATATTTTGTTTTTATATTCGGATTGCAAGGCGGTGATACTCTTGACTTACTGGAGCAGGAATTTAATTTGAATAATTCTTATATATGTAGTTCGTACCTCACAGGAAACAAACTGGTTCTTGATTAAAAAGTCCAGTTGTTTAATGCTGTTTAGGAAAATAATTGTTGTTTGTTGTGACAACCATACGAAATAGATAAAAATACTCTGGGGGCAAATTGCAGATTTCTTTGATATTAAATGATGTGGTACATATTGTAACCAAAAGTGTGCTTTAAATGATCGAAGAATGACAGACTTGTCCAATATCCTGACTTGTTTCTAGCTCTACTGTATTAGCGAATTTTCTGGTCCTTCACTGTTTGTCAGTCAACTCAGATAACATCCATAAACAACAAACTGTCATCGAAAAGTGTATGTTCATTCCATCCTTAGCCTGAAATGCAAATATTAACGCATATTGGATTTTGATATTTCGAGATTATGATTATGCATAACTTAAAGCACGTCCTTGAAAGTAATTCTGTATTTGGTGCTTTTCATGTTGAGGTCACACAAGCCAGTATGAAATTAGAGATTTTCACGGAAGTAATTATGAAAGTGTGATACCGTATAATCTAGTGGATATTTATTAGCGTTTCAGAGGAAACTGCTGCTTCCAACTACAAAAAAAAAACTCCGTGGCCTATAGTCCGCAAGCGACCTATTCCTACCGAGCGACAGCCGCTTGTAGGCGAAGTTAGTGCCCACTTTGGCGGATAGAGGGTGTCGCGTGGTCAACTCAACGGATCCCCACGGCCGTTAATCTCGGTTTTCTACACCGGAGCCTCTACTTTTCAATTAGAGTAGCTCCTCAGTTATCCTCAGGAGGCTGAGTGGACCCCATTCCAGACCCACTACTTCTCAGATGCTATCCCTGTACCAGGCCATGAAGGCCCATAGGGTTGTGAGACGTCGAGGCTCCCATATTATCTAGACAATCGGCTCAAAGATGGCGGTAAGGTTGTCAGCCTTATGCGGGTAGCGCCGGGAATTAACCCGGGACCTCTGGATCTGTAGCCATGAACTCTGACCTCTAGACCCCAGACGCGGTCAGCAGGGTCCTTCGAAATGTTATTAAATATCTATCAGACTATACGGCGTCAAATTCTAGAAAAAGCTCTCCAGATTCATATATTGAGATTGACGTTAGAGGTTCTATGATACCACATCTGAAAATTAAGCATAATGTTAGACATGACATTAATAAAATGTCCACATGTAAAGCGATGTGTTATGTAACCAACACAACATGGAGATGGAGTAGGGAGAATTGTTGAACTGTATCGAATTTTAAGAATATTTCACCAAAATATTCAATTTAAATCAAAAAGATTATTTACAGAAGGCCCCAAATGAAAATAAGTGGAAAGCCGAGACTAGTGGACATTGACTACTTCAGGTTATGTTGGCCTCTGCATACAGTATGGGCTGTAGTTAATATAACTGAACGCTGGACAGATGGACAAAAGTATTCCCTCCGGCTTTCCGTTATTTTCATGTGGGTGTAATTATGACCAAATCTCACCACATTTTTAGAAATGAAATTTATACAAAAGTAATAACATAAAATCTACACCAAAACAGGGGAAGGTAGTTATACCAAAGAAGGCCCAGCACTTAACAAGGACCACATTTTGTCTAATAGTAAGCATATAGTATGCTACAGAGAGAAAAGGTCAGTAGCATTGTAATCATATATCAGTATATGAATAATAGCATTAGTTTCATGGCGAAGCGACAAGCGATATGCAAGCAACACTTATAAGTATTGTCCGTGTTTTTATACCTGGCCATTTTCAAAAGAATTTTCGCTGGATTTGGTCGTAGTCCACAAACTCAGATAAAGATCATAGGGTTATATGGGTAGGTGCGCAACTGGTGTTGCTTCTCAAGAAAATTTCTGAACCATGGAATTAGTTAGGTTATGTATGGGTGAATCAAAATGTAACCCTTCTTCCTCCCATAATGTGAAGAGCACGCGGTAGTGTAATTGGTTGAAGCATTATGCCACAAGCCGGAAGGTCGCGGGTTCGATTCTCCATAATGTCATTGGATTTTTAAATTGATCTAATCATTCCAGCCGCACTATGACACTGCAGTCGACTCAGCGTCTAACAGAAACGAGTACCAGGAATCTTCCTGGGAGATAAAGGGCAGTCTGATGGCACGTAAGGCTGACAACCTTACAGCCATCTGTGACCCGATTGTCTAGAAAATGTGGGAGCCTCGACGTCTCACAACTCAATCTGCCTTCACGGCCTGTGTATCTGCAAACACAGCCCCTAGGTATAATTATTTCTCTTCACGCCCAACACAGAGGCCAGATAACAAAACACGGTATATACAAATGTGTGTCAATTTTGAAGCGAGTTTTGGTTAAGGACGACTTTTGTTAATATGTCTGTAGTTTACGGTTAATATCTCTGTATTCTGGACCGCCTCGGTGGTCTACTGGTCAGAGTTCCTGGCTACAGATCCAGAGATCCGGTTTCGATTCCCGGCGCTACCAGATTTTTCTGAGAAGTAGTGGGTCTGGAACGGGGTCCACTCAGCCTCATGGGGATAATTGAGGAGCTATTTCAAGAAAATAGCGGCTCTGGTCTAGAAAACCGAGATTAACGGTCGTGGAGATCCGTTGCGCTGACCACGCGACACCCTCTATTCGCTAAAATTGGCACTAACTTCGCCGACAAGCGACGGTCGCTCGGTCGGTATAGTTCGCTTCCGGGATAAAATTCACGGAGTTTTTTTATCTCTGTATTCTGTGCATGAAAATGTTGAAGATCGCGTGGTCAGCACAACGGATCCCCACGGCCGTCAATCTCGGGTTTCTAGACCGGAGCCTCTATTTCCTTGAAATAGCTCCCAATAATCATCACGAGGTTGAGTGGACCCCGTTCCAGACCCACTACTGCGGTTAACAATAGGACCAAAATTATTTAAATTAATATTTGTGTTTCGTCAATAAGATGTGGGCCTCACGAAAACCTATATCGTATCGAGGTATGTCTTCACCACTCTTGAGCTTTGCACTAGGTGGAGGTGGCTGGTCAACTTCACGTTCCGGCCGGGGAAAGAGTCACCGGTACTCATAGGATAGGAGGCTGGGTGGACCTCAGTTACTGTCCGGACGCTGTTGAGAAGAGAAAAGTCTTGCCTCTTCCGGGAATCAAACACCTGCCGTCCAGCTATACGGACTGAGCTACACCGAATTATGATGTTATGGAATAAAGTGACCTGCTGTCCCCAATACATATAATAAACCGTTAGCACTGAATTTTCAGGGATGAAACAATGAAGTATTGCTCTTGTACTCACGTTGGTAATGGATAGTAGGGAAGCTTGTCGCATGTGCTTCTGGATCATGGATCTTTTCAACGTGGCTTGGTAATCGTCGCTAGTAAAAGAATTTCTGAGACTGCCGTCTTTTCTTAAGGATCCACTTATAGATCCTGCTCTTGCAGATGATCGACGTCTAGTGCTTTGTCTTCGTACTGATCTTCTAGAAGATTCATTCTCATCCTGTAATACAGATACAAACTCTTCAGTACCGTCGCAGGAGCTGATGGCGGGTGGGTAGGTGGGATCACGTCGCCTGGCCTGCGCGCGCCTTTCGTAACGTATGGATTGTTCTGGAAAGTGCTTAGATCTCCCGCGAACGCGCCTAAAACGTCTCTGCTGCTAAAAATATTTCTTAAAGTTGGGAAAGCGATCAGTTCAGTGAAGAATAGAGCAGACGAGTGAATTGTGAGTCAGCTTTTAGTTTTTCAGTGTAGTCAGTCAATGAGTCAGCTGTCAGTTCAGCTCAGTGCAGAGCACAAAAGTAGAGAGAAGAGGTGAATGTTTTAATGATCGGTGGATTTGTTGTGAAGTAAGGAGTGACCAGAGAACCGATCTCAAGAGCTTAGGGTTTTACGGACTGTGGGACAGTAATTATTGCATCTGCCGGTAATTGTCACTGTACTTCATGTTTTCTGGAAAGGGTACCCTGAAAATGGAGACTGCGGGTTCCTACAAAGATGGGTACTTATGTGTCAAACCACACGGCGTCAGAACCCAAAACGAGAAATTTAATAGGTTATGGTTTCCGACATTGAGGCGTAACATTCATTTCTAGCCTAGTTTCCCTATTTTGAAAAAAAAAAGAAAGTAGGCTTATGAGATCACCATATTGTCTGTGTGTCTGTGAATCCCCGTTATCAACTTTTGAATACCTGAACTAAACTTTATGAAACTTGGTGCTTGTATCATCGCACCTGAGCCTATGTCAACGGGGTACTTCATAAATCCCTCCCATCAGTCTTTGCGTCTGTTCTGTGTATGTTGCTTGGCAACGGCTCAGTATAAACGTTACCGCTGCAACGAATACACACGCAACTATAGAATCGTTGGACACATCATTTTCTGTGCGGTCCGTGTCATATCAAAGAAAGTAGGGCATCGGGACTTAACGTCTTTTCAATTTCCAGTTATGTAGAAGGAAAACACGATAAGATATGTCTGAAAACTGAAGAGATTTTGTGAATTTTATGACATAGTTTACAATCTTACGAAGTAATTTTCTAGAAGTAAAACAGATATAAAGCCGGTCACGGTAAGGCATGCTCTGTCTTTTCTCGCTCGGAAGACGAGATCGTGGGTTCGAATCCCACTCAGGGCATGGATATTTCGTTTTTATATTTGTGAGTGCGTATTTATGTGTTTGTGTACAGGCCTGAGCTGATCACCCGCGCAAGGAATCCTACCGAATATCTATTTTCTTTTATTGCTAGTGGGGTGGGACTAAGTCCCTTGTACTGCGGCCACTTCTGGCCTATCGTACCAGCCCCAGATGATAGGTGAGGGTGATTGTGGAGCAATTTGAATGAAGATTGACAGGTGAAACCGAAGTCCTCGGAGAAACCCTGCCCCGGGGCCACTTTGTCCACCACAAATCCCACTTGCCCAGACCCCGGGATCGAACCCGGGCCGCCGCGATGGGAAGCCAGTGACTAACAGTTTGAGCTATGACGCGGCCCAACCGAATGTCTAAGATCTAGTAAGCCGAAGTGAAACGGAGAGTTTCATGGATGTAGGCCAAGGCCCAAATTGGGGCTGTAGCGTCAAAGAAAAAAAATCATGTCGGTGCTTATAGAGTATATTCTTCTGGATTTGAACACCGTGTATTTCGGAGAGAGCCCGACGTTTCGAAGGATCTGTGCTCAGGCTGTCACTTATTTCCGCTAGTCTCTTGCTTTTTCTAATTATTCACCCTGAAGATGGAACTATACAGCGTTACAAACCAGATATAATTATAAAAATAGAGGGAAATATTGCAGTTTTAAACTTAATATATGTATGATAATGTTATGCTTTCTAAGTTAGTAAAAAACTGTATTTGTCTTTTTCGTCATAAGTAACCAATGAAACAAAATATGAGGTACATTCAGCTGTTGCGACTCACCGCATTGGATATCCCTGATTTTATACGCTTTCGCACTCGAATTTGTTGTGTTGGCTCTTCCATCTCGCTTTCGTTCTCATCCTTGGCCAAAAGTTTAGCAAAATTAAGACCACTGTTCTGCATCTCAGCGTATGTTCCTTGTTTTTCTATTTCTCCCTGAAAATATACATAAAAAATATCAGAATCCATGAGAAGGACAGAAAAATGTTTGGTTCCTCCTGGAACTTTTCTGAGCTCTTCCTAGTTATCCATTTTCCTCTTTTTTTCCCCCCATAAAAACCCTTCATCATTCCTCTTCGATCCACTGCATGCTATATGCCCTGCCGATCAAATCTTCCTCGAATTGATTTTTCTAATTATATTTGACCAGCTTATTATGCATTTTCATCCAGCCTAGTATTAGTCCCTCCCTTTTGAATCCAAGTATTTCCCTCAGCACCCTGTTCTCAAACACCCCCAGTCTATGTAACTTTTGAGGTTTTCACGGCGATGACTGAAGAAAGTCGTCTTCTGGGTTACAGCTACTGCTCTCTGCATTCACAAGCCATTCACCTACTCTGAAAATGGAGGCGATACTTTCCTCCGAAACGTCAGCCAAAACGAAGAATACACGGCGCCAAAACCAAGAAGACGACTTTCTTCACCCTCAGTCTATGTTCTCCTAATATGAAAGACCTAGTTTCACACCCATAAAAATATTACAGACAAAATTATAGTTTTGTATTTTTTTTTTTGCCTTTACGTTTTTGGAAAGTAGACGAGAAGATAAATGTTTCTAAACGTATTGATAATAATGACTAACCGAATTTAATTTGGTCTAAATTCCCGCATACATCAAATCTTTATTTGTTACTGTCGTTCCCAGATTACGGATGGAGAAGATGGGCCACAGATATAGAAGGCAGTTGCTAATATATCGAATTAATATTCGCGCACAGCCGGCAAGGAGTTGTCTTCAAGCTTGTGGGTTGTGCGTGGGGCTAAAAACACGAGCGTGTTATAAGGAACTAAGTTGAATAACGTTTAATATTACGAGACGTTTCTGACTCACGTTGTTTAGGATGGCGACCATATCGGCGTCCTTGATGTACTGCAGTTGGTGGGTGACGAGTATTCTTGTCTTGTTTCTCAGATGTGTCTTGATGCATTCCTCGAACAAGTGTTTCCCCACGTGCGTGTCCACGGCCGACAGAGGATCGTCCAAGAGGTAAACGTCCGCATTCCTGTACACCGCCCTGACGTCGCCACAGAAAATCACCCATATGTTTAGAAAAGTCACTCCGGGGGTTTGGGATAGGCCGGGATTGCTATGGTCTACGGGCTGGACAGCTGGGGTTCGGTTCCTGGCAGAGATAGGATATCTTTCCCTTCCTCACAGGGTCCAGACCGGATCTGCACCCCACCAAACCTATCCAATGTGTACCAGGGGTAAAGCGGCCGGTGTGTGAGGCTGACTACTTCTAGTGCCGAGGTCGAGAATGGTGGAGCTATACCTCCGCCCTCTCCAATACGTCTTCATGGCATGGTGCTCAATTTGTGAAGGTTAGGGACAGATTGTTACCGTTTAATTTCGGAGTATAGGAAACCGCGTGTTCTTTGCCGTGTTCATATCGAAAATACGTGAAATATTGAAATAAAATTTAACTCAAAATTGCAGAGAAATGTGTTCCTATTTTGAAAATTAATGTGTGCTGCGGACCAAACTTACTTCATAAAAAAAATAAATGTAAAGCTATCCCTGTAACAGGCCGTCGAGGCTCCCACATTTTCTAGACAATCGGCTCATAGATGTCGGTGAGGTTGTCAGCCTTCCGCGCCGGCCGCCCTTTAACCCACAGGAAGATTCCTGGTACATATTTCTGTTAGAGGCTGAGTAGGCTCCAGGGCCATTGTTCGCTGGAAGGATTAGGTCAATTGAAAAAAATCCACAGGCCTTCCGCATTGTAGCATAGTGCCTCAACCAACTACGCTATCGCGTGCCCCCGATTTGACCACAGTAAGAGTATAAATTATGAAACTCTTCACTACTCTTCTTATTTATCCCCTTGTTAATAGCTCTTAGATCCGAACATTGTCATTAGCACCCAGTTATCATAAACCCTAACTACCTGAGGTTTCCATGGCTATGATTATGGTGCGTACCATCCCCTGAAATATTATGCCTTGCATCCCAGTTCACTGACATACCAGAGCAACGTATTGTCTCCAACCTCAGGTCCTAAGATTAAGCCAAGCAGGGTTGTTTTACTTGTTGCTGCTTGCTGGTTTCTTCCCTAGCGTATTCTTCAATCCTGAAGACGGAGGCTATACTGTCCTCCGAAACATCGTTTTCTTTCAGAACTACACGGCATTTGAACCCAGAATGTAAAATTCAACATAATTATATTTTTTTATAAATTAATATATATGTGTTCAGATAAGTTAGAAGGCCCCCTCGTTGGTGTCTCCACCTTATCGTGGTGAGGGGCTTTGAGTATGCCAAGAACCCTGAGAGCTATACCAGCGGTAGCGTAGCTACTGGCAAGGCCTCCCTTGCTGGACAGGTCAAAGGGTAGGCATCAGACGAAGAGAGACACCAAAAACTGATGCCGGAAGCAGCGTCATCAGCAGCGACTTGAAGCACAGAGCAAATGATGCTCGAGATGGTTCAAGTTCGTATAGCAACAGGCGTGACCAGAGTGGTTTGAACGGCTGTTGTACTGCGATGTGGAAAGCAAATGGAAAAACTGCCACATTATCACTTTTCCTGGATAGTCTCTTTCCAAAAACAGAAATACCATGTATTCGAGGTTAAACTGGAGGGGCGGATAGAAGTGACCAGAAGACTAGGAAGAAGACGTAAGAAGATACTGGATGACTTTGGGGATAGAATAGGATATTTTTATTTGAAGGAGAAAGTTGAGATTGCATTAAGTGGAGGAACTGTTTTGGAAGAGACTGTGGACCTGTCGTCTGACAGATTACTGATGAATGAATGAATGAATGAATGAATGAATGAAGTTTGAAGTCTGAAAGACGAAATACTTTGGACTTGTGGAGAACATTGCACATACCTGGCCAAGTTAATCCTCGCTCTCTGACCTCCACTGAGGGAAATCCCCTTTTCTCCAACCAGTGTTCTGTCCCCATGACGAAACATGTCGAAATCCTTTTGCAGGGCACAGATCCTTACAGTCTGCTTGTACTTCTCTGCTTCGAAAGGCTGTCCGAACAGAATGTTCTGCCTCACGGTCCCCACGAACAGCCAGGGATCTTGCGATGCATACGAAATAGTTCCACCGGTAGAGACAGTTCCACTGTACATTGGCAACTCCCTCATTACAGCATGTAGGAGGGAACTCTGAAATATGTTAGTAGCCTCAATGCGCGAATTCCATAGCTGAGTTGCATGTACAGTATGCGCCAAAACATTTTAGTACTGAAACTCGCGCTTCTCGAACGCGCATGTGCGTTTGTCGACGGGGCATAGCTCCAGCCGCACGTGTTCCCAGTATTGATTGAAAAGGAAGTTGTGTTGTGCAGTTGCTATTGGAAATGGGTCTCTCGAGGGAGGAAGAAGTATTCATAGTTGAGTATTATTTCCGCTCATACGGAAGTGGTCGCCAGACAACTCGCTTCCTTGGTTTTGAGTGGCCAGATGTTATCGTCCAGAAACCGCTACATAGTACACGTGTCACGATATGGTGTGCTGTCTCAGCACACGGTACATTAGGCCCCTATTTTATTGAGGATGGGGAAGGCAATGGTCTTACCGTCACCCAAGAACGTTTCAGGGACATGGAGATCGGACCATTTCTTCAGGATTTGAGAACGTTCTGTCGTGTTAGGGGCCTTCACATGAATAGACAGTGGTATCAACAGGCCGTATTTTCATTTCAGTACTGTTTTATTTTTGGCGCAACTGTATTATAGAAGTCGTACAGTCGAGGACATTTCGTTTGGCCACTCAAGGTCATAACTCCTTCACCCACCCCTCCACTTCTATTCTCCTCACTTAGACTCTGTACTAGGCGCGAGGTAGGGAAGGGGTAGCACTACTGATCAGTAGTGATGAAATGACCTTGACCGGCCAAAATAAATGTCCCCTTTCTGAATCTTGTTACCGAACGTTGCAATAGAAACTTCGTATTGGGCCATCACGAGTTAGCATCTCGGCTATCCTGTACGCGGTCGTCATTGGTTTTCGTATATACATGCCGGAATAGTGCCTTCCGGCTGTATTACTTCCGATTTGTCGTACACGATTATTTACGCTTAATAACCTTTGAGTTTTAGATGAGCCCTTCAATACGTCGGCCTTCAAAGTTCCATATATTTTAGAGCATGTTCCTCCGAAACTTGTACCAGATTACACGTTATCACACCCCAGATGATGAGACTCTGCGACTCTGTCATGCTCACCTTCCCCGAGCCGACAGGTCCTATGACCGCGCAAAGTTTCCCTTCCGGGATCCGGAGTGTGATGTTACTCAGGGTGTCTCTCGCGAGGTCTGGACTCCATTTTGCACTAGCATTCACAATGGTCACACCTGCGTCCGCAGTTCCATTAGTTTTCCCTTGGCCCAGTGAACTCATAATCTTTGGTGCGTTGTTGTTTATATTAGCGGCTGCGCATTGAGCCTCATCCTCCAGCATTAGTTCCTGTAGAAGGAAGAAAGTAGTAATCAGTATATTACGGTTTTACTTAGCGACATGGTTGTTTGGGTTCGATCCCAAGTAAGATCATATGTGATTAGTGGTGGACAAAGTGGCAATGGGATCACAGTTTTCTCCCATTACTTCGGTTTCCCCTGCCAATTCTCACTCCACCAAATACTCCACATTCGTTAATCATGTACACTTGTTACTGACAGCGTCATTAAATGAGCAACTTAAAAAAGTTATGAGTAATTCTGATATAGCGTCGAATTGTGGAGTAGTTACTGGAGCAGAAATTGAAAAGTCTATACAGGGTGTACCATGATGAAAGGTCAGTATTGTGGGAGGTCATAGTATCGGTCATCCTAAGCAAAGAAGTGTGTATATGTACATGTGTCCTATTCCGAACGGTTTCCGAGATAGAGCTATTTCACTGTACAGACAATAATTTTGGAACTATACAGTGAAATAGCTCTATCTCGGAAACCGTTCGGAAAAGAACACATGTACATATACACTTTTTTGCTTAGAATGACCGATACTATGACCTCTGAGAATATTGACCGTTCCTCCTGGAACACCCTGTATAAGGAAAGGATGGTTCACTGACGCCATACACTAGCCGAGGATTTGTCTGAAAGGATCGTGGGAAACAGTAGAACACCTTAGTTACTTACCTACTCACTCATGGAGCTGAGCCCTTCTGGAGGAGCCGCCAGTTCGGCAGATACTCAAGAATTTCCCAGCATTTTATGGAACCCGAAGGTTCATTACCGTGTTCACAAGAGTCCTCCACTTGTCCCTCTCCTGAGCCAGATCTATCCAATCCATACCATCCCATCTTATCTCTCTAAGATCCATTCTAACATTGTCCACCCAACTACGCCTTGGTCGTCCCTGTGGTCTCTTTCCTTCCAGCTTTCTCACCAATTACACAGTGAATTTGGTGTTCTGGACGCCATGTTCAAATCTTTAAACGTTTAGATATATCTTGTACTCCGAAAGCAGTGAAACGGAATAATTTTGAAGATTAGGATTATGGTCTTCTGAGTTATGACACTGTATAATTTCGTTACTACTGCCTCCATGTTCACGGTTGAAATGACTACACGATTTTCTTCGCTCCAAAAGACCTTAATCTTAACTTTCAGATGTGATAACCTCAGATCTTATTCTGAGGATTGTCATTAAGAGTATGTTAACGGATTGGTAACCTGTTAGTATCAGTAAAGCGAAGGTAAAGCTGTCCTTGTGTTTCACTAATTAAGCACTGCGCCATGAAGGTGTATGGGGGAGTGGATGTATAGATCCACATTTTCTTGACATCGGTATTACTTTATCAGCTTCACGCCCCAGCTGCTTTACCCTCGGTAAGGAGGTGGGCCCCAGAGTCAGTCTGGACGACTTGGAGAATATTCTTGACTCTACTAGTATTCGAACTCCTAAATAGTTATAAATAAATAATTATATGATTTACCTCTAGACGTCTGATAGAAACGGACGTTTCGGCCTTATATTCAACTGCCGTCGGGAAATATATGGCCATTGTCTGGTTGAGGTTATTGTAGAATTGTGCCATGGTAAACACCTGAAAATTTTAAGGAAAATTAATGTTGAGAACAGTAATATTTTACCACAATTAATTGGTAATTTTTACTTCAGTGATGGTTACAAGAGTCTCAAGATTGTAAACGTCCGACTGAAGNACTTTTTTATTATTCTGGTGGCAACACCTTTTACATTGAAGAAAGCAGTTTTCTGGAATTTGGCACCGTGTATATGTGGTGTTAACCGACGTTTCGGAGGAACGTATCGCCATCCCTGAAGATGGAGGCGATACGTTCCTCAAAAACGTCGGTTAACACCACATCCCACATCCACCAAATCCCAGAAGACTGCTTTCTTTGAAGACTGGTTGCTTTGTCACCGCGTGTTGTAGTTCACTTTCGGGTATAGCTTCTATGTTTTGGGTGGTCTTCGGTATGACTGTTGTATTGAACACTGCAGTAAGTGAGGGACATGTCCCACGTTTTATTTATTTCATCAGATATTTAATTCAGAAAAAAATATGCCTCAAACATGTTTGAGAATACGTTTTCTTCGCATAATGACGTACCTCTTCGTGCCGTAGTTACAAAAATTAATTAATTCCGTTCTCAACATAATATTGGAAGCACATCGACGCGTCAGAAATCTCCTTCAACGTAGCGCATTCCTTCCAAAAGATTGTCAACTGAAGGTATAACATACTGCCACGTGTATATATGACCGTAGACGGCATTTGGATTGGTCATTCGATTTATTGACCATTTACAGGTCGTAACTACAAATAACGCTAACACTATCGCCTATTTACGCACATTACAAATCGCTACGCGCTAAATTTTCTCCAGCCTCCAGTGTCTTCATCAGCCGTTCCCCGGGAACGGCTTCTAACAATGGAGATTCTTCAGCTTCAAGCGCTTAAGCCCTCTTTTTGCAGACTCTCATAGAGAACTGTCTATAAACCAAGTCAAAGTCACATTGCGACTGACAATCGGTCAGTCAGTCAATCTTGGTGTCGAGCCCAATGTGGGGCTCATGACCAGATATTTATTACTGTTTGACAGTTAAGTCTTGTTATTGTGGGGCGCCCTCTCTGACAAAGGATGGGTCTGTCTTTTGTTAGAATCATTGTCTATAGTAGTAAGTCATTTGTCATAATGTAAAGGATATTTACATTTTACATGTTAAACATGATAATGAATATATTAAATACATAAAGGGCCTCTATCAGTCCAGGCTCAGCACAGCAGATTATGCCCTATTTCTAGTAGCTTCCGCTACAACGGCAGTCTAGGCACTTGAATATAAACTAAGCCCCAAACCTTCCGGTTATAACATCTCAGCACGGACAACATAGAAAATACAGTTCTCCTGTTGTTGCTTGCGTGTATGTTTCTGGCGTTACATAGCAACGGCCACTGTTTACAGAGTCACCGCTGAACAACGGGTCTATACGCCACTATATTTTTGAAGATGCTTAGGCCAGTTGTTTTCAAAGAGTTGCCCACTGATCCCTAGGTTTCCACGAGGTTTCGACAAGGGGTCCACTAAATTATTCTTGCCTTCATGTTAGATGTTAGAAAGAAAAATTTAATATTTTACAAAATCTCTTCCTTAGGAATTACGTGTATTTGTATCTGTTTTAAGTCGATATGCAGATAATTTGCATGTGGAAGGATGGGAGGTCGTTGAGGTAGGGTGGGTTTGCCCTCTCGAAATTTTGAGAACTACAGTTTTATACGGATGGTACTAATAACTGATGTCTCTGTGCTCACTGAAATGCAACTGCAAGCTTCTGCGCATCAAGACTCACGAGTTATGCCTAAAAGAGACAAAGAAATATGCTTGCCTTCTGTGGGGTAATGTTATAACCCAGTAACACGTAACTCAGAAGGGTGGCGAACAGCGATGAACGTTCTAAGTACACCATGGATGACATGTAGAACCCACGTAAATATGCAGAGTATGTGACTTTGCTGATTTCATTCCTGCAACAGTAATTACTCTAATTAAACAAATGCACAGCGCTGTGTGCCGCAGAATTATGTACTAGATGAATTGGAGTTCATCATCTCCAGTTATGGACGTTGACAGTGACTTCATCGTCAGGAACTCATTCATTCATCAATGGCTCTACAGCCCTTTATTGGGCCCTGGCCTCTTCTTGAGTTCCGTAATCTTTTTTACACAGACGGTATGACTAGAAATGCATATAGGGTATTGGTCAGAAAGCCAGATGGAAAGAGACCACTAGGAAGATCAAGACGTAGGCGGGTGGACAATATTAAAATTAATCTTACAGAGATAGGATGGGATGATATGGATTTGATTGATGTGGCTCAGGGACCAGCGGAGGGCTCTTGTGAACACGGTAATGAACCTTCGGGTTCCATAAAATGCTGGGAAGTTCTTGTAGCTGCAGAATTGGCGGCTCCTCAAGAAGGCCTCAGCTCATTGAATGAGTATTCAATTGGAATTCACATTTATGGGCATAACACAGATAACTTACTTACTTACTTATTCAGCTGAGCCCTTCTTGAGGAGCCCACAATTCTGCAGCCACTCAAGAATTTCCCAGCATTTTATGGAACCCAAAGGTTCATTACCGTGTTCACAAGAGCCCTCCACTGGTCCCTATCCTCAGCCAGATCAATCCAATGCTATCTCTCTAAGATGCATTTTAATATTGTTCACCCACCTACGCCTTGGTCTTCCCAGTGGTTTCTTTCCTTCTGGCTTTCACACCAATATCCTATATGCATTCCTCTTCTCCCCCATTCGTGTTACATGCCCTGCCCATCTCATCCTTGACTTGATCATTCTAATTATACTTGGAGAAGGGTACAAGTTATGAATGCAGAACTGAGTCGTGTATTTGATGCTGACATCTGTGTATAAGCATTCGCAGAAGATAGGCACCCTAAGGCCTTGTCAGCGCTCGTTGTGTACCAGTGTCAGTTTCCTTCCGAAGTACGTACCATCGGGCAACTTCGACGAGTTTGGCGAAAGGTTTCTCCCAAGCGTACATCTTGATGACCTGAATACCCGAGACTATCTCGTTCATCAGCCTCATCCTCTCGTCCGTCCTAACTGCGATTTTCTTCCGCAGTTTCGCGATCAGTTTCCCAAGGTAAGCTGCAACAAACCGGTGTCTTGATTATATTTACAGTTTATCGTACGATACTGCCACCATATACATACGCGGTAGTGTAGTTGGTTGAGACACTATGCTACAAGCCGGAAGGTCGCGGGTTCGAATCCCGATGAGGTGGATTTTTTTTTCAGTTTACCTAACCCTTCCAACCGCACTATGGCCCTGGTACTCATTTCTGTTAGAGGCTGAGTCGACCCCGGGGACATAGTGCGACTGGAAGGGTTTTTATTTCCTTTGGCGCTACAGCCCCAATTTTGGCTTTGGCCTACCTAGATGAAACTCTCCGTTTCACTTCGGTTTACTACTGTGACCTGCGGCTGGAAGGATTAGGTCAATTGAAAAATCGAATGGCATCATCGGGAATCGAACCTTGTATGAAATTATAATGAATGGAAATTTCTATTTCAGACTATCAGAATCAGAGTCTGTTTAACTCACTTTGTACAGGGAGTGTCTGCAACAGGATGAAAGCCACTCCGACGACAGCAGATGGTCCGACCATGGTCCACAGGCAATATGTGACGATGAGGGTCTGTAAGGGTGCAATAATGAGGAACCCGATGCATTGGGGCGCATAGTCGAAGCGACACACGTCGTTGGACATGAGATTCACAATTCGACCTGTAGCTGTTTTGTTTGTCGTGGATTTGCTGAGCCGCAGTAGCTACAGACAGACGGAAGACATTAATACACACATTACGTTCTCACGCACACGCGCGCGGAGCTTAGCCCTTCTTGAGAAGCCGCCAATTGCGCAGCTACTCAAGAGCTTACCAACATTTTATGGAACCCGAAAATTTATTACCGCGCTCACAAGAACCCTCCACTGATCCGTATCCTGAGCCAGATCAACCCAATCTATACCATCCCATCCAATCTCTCTAAGATCAATTTTACTTCTAACATTTCAAGTACCAAATCTCATATCCATTTTCTTTCGCTTATTTTTTTTTACGGTGAGAAGTTGCTAGCCCCACGCCCAACTCCCCAAGCTGGAGGAACCCATTGTCTGCGGTCCTCGACTGTTTATTCAATATGTTCTCAGCTACGCTCTAGAAAACAGAATTAACGGCCTTGGGGATCCGTTGCGCTGACCACGCGACACCCTCTATCCGCTAAAGTTGGCACTATCTTCGCCGACAAGCGGCGGTCGCTCGGTCGGTATAGTTCTCTTGCGGACTAAACCACAGAGTTTGTTTGCTACCATCCGTATGTGGGGGCCGTCTCCACTCGCAACCTGAGTACGAACCATGCCGTGGTGAAAAAGGACCCACCTACACATTACAGCTGTAGCGAAATGTCACTGACCTTCGTTGACTGTTACAAATACCTCCAGAAATCCGTTACTTTTGAAATTGGACGGCTATTTTTTTGAAAACGTTCGTTTGTGTGAGAAGTTCCTCACCTTTCTATATAGGAGAGAGCAACAGGCCACGCGCACGCGCATTCCAAGCCTGAAACTTAGATGATTGTAGTGGTGATCGAACGTAAGACGAATGAAGAGGATCGCAATCATCGCCCCGCCATAGATCCACGCCTCCTTCTTCTGCATCCCATTCCCTGGCGTGAAGAAGTTGATCACCTTTCCCATCAGAATCGTCTGTACAATCCTAAATTCGGATAAAGTGCACAGTTATTTTTTTTTATCCACAGGGATAATGTGCAGGGATCGTTTGGAACACCGTTTCAGGCTGAAAGAAATTTCATAAAATCGTTTTCGTCGATTATTATTATTATGATTATTATTATTAGAGGGGGTGGGTTTCCCCATGCACTTAGACCAGTTATTGGTCCATTGTGCGTTCCCCTTTAATTTCTACTGTCGCCATACCCTACCGGTACTGGTGCGTGCTATCAGCCCCGTTCAGCCAACGAGGTCGGCCTTCGGTACCTGATATTTCCCCCATCTACCAGAGGCATTGGAAACTACTTGGGCGGGAAATTGTTGCCTAATTTTGCTCAGAGGTCTCCTAGAGACATGAGGATCTTTTACGTGCCGTAAATCTACGACACGGGACCCACGGCTTAAAGTCCCTCCCGGAAGACTTGTTCCCTGAATTTTTCCGCCCTTAAAAATTCCCTGACCTCCGCCGGGTTTGAACCCGCGTACCTTGGGTCATGAGGTGGGAACGTTACCCCTAGACTACGTAGGGCGCTTTTTCGTCGCTTAAATAATGACAGATTAGAACTCTTCCATAGTTCTAAGACAAAAGAGATATTAAAATCGCATAATTAAACAAGCGTTTGATCTCCGTGCAGAAAACTAAACGAACTCTTGATTTCCTATATTTTTTATTACAAGGAAAATTCAGTCGGTATAGCGACTGGAAGATCGACATATTTCTATTCGATTCGCGACAGTGGAAAGAGATTTTTATCTTCTCCGTGACGTCCATACCGTGTAGACCCACTTAGCCTCCTGTTAAATGGGTATTTGGGTTGTTTCCCCGTGATGAAAGTGACAGGGACCTGAGGCTGACCACTCGCTTCCCTGTAGTGGCTGAGCTTGAGAATGTGGATATTTATCTCCACTCCTTCATACGTCTTCAACTGGTACAATAGGCCAGAAGTGGCCGCAGTACAAGGGACTTAGTCCCACCCCACTAGCAATAAGAAAAAAAAAACATCTTCATGGTGCGGTGTTTAGTAAATTGAGTTAACTCTTCCAGTGTAGTG